ATAAAAAGCCAAGAAATTCCATATAAGCAAGAGCAACATGAATAACATAAGGTATAATGTAAATGAATCGGGAAGCCAAAAACATTTTCAAATCGGAAACACAAAGATTGCCATATTCATCTACTTCTTCGTTGGAAGGAGATTGAAGAACATATAGGGGTCGTTTGATACAATGGACTATCATGGACTGGACTAAGTTTTGGGATTGTCTTGGATTGGCTTGGACTAAGCTGGATAACACTTGTACTGCGCTTGGTGTATGTTTGATTGAACTCGGACTAAATTTTTTTTAAATATTTTTTTTGAAAAGTAAGTTTTTTTTAATATTTAGAAACAGCGCATGTGGATTTTTTATATCTTCTCTCTACATCTCTTTCTTCATCTTCCTCTCATTATTTTTTTATTTTTCTTCTCTCTCTGCATCTCATTCTTTTCTTCCGCGGCTGGCTTCTTTTTCATCTTCTTCTCCATCCTCTCTCCTCTCTTCTTCCTCTACTATTATGTCTTCCCCTTCTCCTCTTTTTCTCTTTGAAAATTTTCAGACAAAAAACAAGCAAAGAACCCAAGCTACCACTCCCCTTTTGTACCCTCAAATTCGGCATCATCTCACAACATCCCTTCCCCAAACCCCAAAAAACTCATGTTACGTTCTTTTCTTAGCCAAAATTGAAACCATTTATTTTCTTTTTTGTTCTGTAATTTTTTTTTGGATTTGCAGAGAGGAGTAGAGAAGAGGAGTTAAGGGAGAGGGGAACATCAATGTTGCTGGGGTGGGGGGTGATTGGGAAGTTGATGCAGTGGGTTTGTGTGGTGTTTTTTTTATTTGAATTTCGAACTGGTTATGGCTGGGGACGATGATGCAGTGGCCATGGTGGATATGGTGAATCTATGTTGCGGCTGGAGGAGAGAGAAAGCAGTGGTGGTGGGTGGGTCTGCTGGCTCTTGGTTGTTGGTTGTGGTTGGTTGCAGGCGATGTTGCTTGTTGAGGGAGAGGGGCACTGCGATGCAATGTCGCTAGCGAAGGGCTTGGGACAATTTGTCCGCCCTTTCCACACAGGCTTCTGTAAGAACACCTAAGGAGGTGTTTTTGGTGGGCCTAGTATTAGTTAATCCCATTTAAGATTAGAACCATGGGAAACAAACATGGGATTAAAGTTTGGCCAATCCAGTCCAAGCAAATCCCTTGTAACAAACGAGTCCATAGTGCGTTGACTACATGACACTACCAAGAAGAGTCCAGAACTAGACATGGACTTTAGTATAAAAGGAGTTTTCAGCTCGTTAAGGAAGATGCATTTTTGGCACTGAGTTCAGAATTAAAAATTAAATAAAATGAAACGATCACACCTAATCAGTGAAAAATTCTGACACCAATCATTTACGAGTGAGTATTACACCAAGAATTAATTGACAAGCGGATGAGTTTTCTAGTTCACTATGTTGATATAGCTTATAATATTGTTAATAATCCCAAGATTTCCCCCCTTCGATGCCAGTTTGAAACCTAAGACCCCTGGGTCTTTGGGTGTAAACCAAAGCCAACATGATACGAGGAAGCCAGCAACGAAATTCATTATTATTCACTATGCTGGTTGTGATTATGGCAACTCAAAGATACTAAACAAAGGTATTTGTGCCTAACATAATTCACTATGCTGGTTGTGATTACAGCATAACAATACTGTCATTATTAAAAAGACATACCTTCTCTCCCACTTTTTCTTGATGTTCCTTCACTTTCTCTTGTAATTTCTTCAATCTCATGTTCACCCTTAACCTCTTTTCCTGTTTATATCAAACAAAAATAGAGAGCTAAGTTCCTTCGCCACAGAAAAGTTACCATATCAATAGATAGGTCGATTGAAAACAAGACCCCAAGAAAACCATATTTCATAGTAAGAAAATCGAATAGATGAAAACACGAGAAAAATCTTGCCTTCACAAAACTAACACCAAGCTCTTTTCTTGTATATCCACGATCCAAGTTACGCAACACATACTGATTATAATCTTTTACAATCCTCATTATAATGTCCGATGTCGAAATCCCATCAGTTCTCTTTGTTTCCTTAAACCTCCCCACTGCTTTGACCTATAAGAAAAGAATCACTTAACAAATTATATGTTAAAGAAAATTGGGGGAAAAAAAGCCAAAAGAAAAGTACTTTGTGCCAAACTTACAAATTCGTACACATCTTTCCCAGCTCCACTGGCATCAGCATAACTGTAAAAGACA